CTCAAGTTTTAAACATCGTTATAGATTTACATTTATCATGTGCAAGTTTATGTATTAGTTTGCAAGAATTGATTTATGCATTGTAAATATTTTTGTGCATATAAAAACCCGTGAACTCACCAACTCTTTGTAGTTGACGTTGTTTTATGTTTCATGCTTTTCAGGAAATAAGTAAGAAATAAAGTTTAGGAGCATATATGTGACGACACCGATTAAGTTCATTTTGTATCTTTTGTAAAGAATTATTCTAACTCCAACTTGGTTATGGATGTTAAATTCGAATTTTGTAAAACTTGAATGGTGTTATTTAATATTTGTTGCTGTGACTCGCTTACCTGTTACATCTCGTGTTTCCGCTTTAACGGGGTGTGACATTCGGAAAGCAGTTTTAGCAATATCTTCTTCTTTAACTTTCAGTTGATGGTAACCTGATCTTAGATCAATCTTCGAGAAGTAACTAGCCCCCTCTAGTTGATCAAACAAGTCATCGATTCTTGACAACATATATTTGTTCTGTATGGTCAATTTGTTCAATTCCCGATAGTCGATACACATACACATAGAACCGTCTTTCTTTTTCACAAACAGAACTGGAGCTTCACACGATGAAGTACTTGGCCTGATAAATCCTTTGTCAAGCAAATCTTTTAACTATGTGACCAATTCTTTTAGTTCAAACGAAGCTAATTGATATGGTGTTTTGGCTACCGGTGCTGCTCCGTGAATCAAATCAATCCCAAATTCAATAACTCTCTCTGGCGGTAATTCGGATAAGTCTTCTGGAAAGACTTCAGGATAGTTACTAATAATCGGGATTAATTCTTGTTTTCCCTTCTCTTTCTTTGCATCAATTGCATAAGCTCAAAACCCCTTACATCACTTTTGAATGCATTTTCTGGCTTTCATCACAGTCAACAGACCGGTATGATGATCCTGATGATCACCATATATAACAACTTACCCCTTGTCTGGCAACATTATTCGGATCATCTTTTCATCACAAACAGTTCTTGAGAAATACAACATTAACCACAAAGTTACCACCGCATATCACTCGCATACTAATGGATTGGCAGAACTTTCAAACTGTGAAATAAAAGGAATTTTGGAAAAAAAAATGGTTAAACCAAGCAGAAAAGACTGGGCTTATAAACTAGATGATGCTTTATGGGCATACAGAACTGCATTTAAAACTCCAATTGGTATGTCTCCATACAAGCTCGTTTTTGGAAAAACATGTCATCTTCCGGTGGAACTTGAACATAAGGCCTATTGGGCAATCAATGAATTAAATATGTGCCTAGATGATGCAGGGAATAAAAGGAAATTGCAGTTATGTGAAATGGAAGAGCATAAAAACATGTCCTATGAAAATGCCAAGTTGTACAAAGAAAAGGCTAAACAGTGGCATGACAGAAGAATTCAACAGCGAGAGTTAAAAGCAGGACAACAAGTCTTATTGTTCAATTCGAGATTAAAACTGTTTTCAGGTAAATTTAAACTAGGTGGTCAGAACCATTTCTAATCCACAAAGTTTACCCATACGGAGCAGTTGATCTAGTAAACCCTGAGGATAACAGTCTGTTCAAGGTAAATGGACAGAGAATAAAAATTTATCTGGATGAGCCCAAAAGCCAATAATACCCCACGTAAGTTTTTCTACATAAAATAAGATGTAAATATATATCGTACTAATATTTATATGGATATATGTGTGTAAATAAATATATTTGTATATATATATATATATATATCATATTTTTTTATTTCACTAAAAAAAAGAAAAAAAAATAGAAAAAGATAGAAAACCAAAAAGAAAGAAAATATATATATATATATATATATATATATATGGTATATTTCTTTTACAACCTTGTGCATTTGTACAACCTTGTGCATTTGTACAACCTTTGCAACCCAATTAATTGAGATATTTATAGAAATGATTGGAGTTCATTTATTATGATTTGAATATTTATGGAATATGATTAGAGTTTATTAATTATGACTAGTTGTGTACCCGCGCAATGCGGCGGGAGTCATGAATTTTAACGATTTTGAAGTTTCACTGATTTTATAAGATAAGATTTAACGATGATATAGGTTACACTTGGTCTTTACATATTAATACAATTTGAATAAATAAGAATTATGGTTCCAATTACAGACTATCAATGAAAAAAATTGTATGACAGTTTAAAATCCAATATATTTAAAATCCAATATATTTAAAATCCAACATATTTAAACGACTCCACAAATGTGTTCGATTTACACCAAGAGCAAAAAACAAAGAAACTTGAGTTTTAAGATAAACACTCAAAACCAATAAAAAAAACTATAAATTTGACAGATCATAAGCCATGAAAAGACAAAAAAGATGAGTTTTAAAATGAAATTTCAACTGTATACCCTCTTTCTTGTCCAGAAACTCAGATTAAGGTTGAATTAATACATGTATATATATATTTCAAAAAAACCCAAGAACATATTAATTCAAAACATATTATACAGTGCAATTTGGATAGCCTAACCCAAAATATATAGTATATATATAAATGCATAACTATAAAAATATAAATCGTAAATATTAAAAATATTTTTCACAGTATATAATATATAAATATAATTAAGTCAAAAACTATTTAATATTGGACTCATTTYGAAGGTATTAACGAGACGATTATAATGGTGTAACTTGTTAAAATAAAAATGTATTTTTTAAACATGTTTTAATTGATATACGATTATGTATGTTAATTTGATAAATGTTTAAAATGAAACATTTAAAAGTAAAGGACATAAAGTAAATTAATTAATTAAGTATAAGGGTATAAAGTGTAAATTTAAAATTATAATTTTAAAAAAATATGGTGAGTGTATGTGAGAGGGTGAGTGTATGTGAGGAAAGAAGGGGGTGAAAAAGTGAAAAAATGAGTATAAAAGGTATTTTGGTCATTTAAAATTTTAAGACTTTAAGATTTTTGCTAAATTTGCTTAATAAGATAGTATAGATTAATACTTTATATTAGGAAACAATTAATTGATTAAAAATTGAATGGTTGAGATAAGGGTTGTATAAGGTGTAGGAATGACAAAGAGTGTAGAATAACATCCCTATATATATATATATATATATATATATATGTCTTTTTATATTTGTCTTCTTATTTTTTCTCCCTCTTTTTCCACATAACCGTACGAGAAACCTGACACTTAGCCCTCTCCATCAACTGATTTTGTACGAGAAGAAGAGGCAAGCACCATCACAGTCACTGTTCATCTCCATCACATACCATTACCGCCACGGTTCCCTTGCTTTCATTCCCATCACCATCGCCGGCCGCTCTTCTTCTCCATCCATTGCATCACCCTCGTCGCACTTAGTCATCAAGTGCGATGCTTCTTCTCGTCCTTTTTAACTTAATCAATCAAGAAGGCAGTATCATCGGTGTTTGATTCGAACATCAATAGAACGAGGGAAAAACCAAGGAACTCGATTTTTGGTCGAATAACACGAGGTACATTGTTCTTTATCCCTAATCTTAGTCATTCAAGCAAAATGATTGGCCGAATGGGTTCCCGTGTGCTTAATCGAGCACTGCATAACACTAATTAGGGTTCTAATGCTATTGTCGATTGGCAAACATAAACCCTAGCTCGGGCACATTGAGCCAATGTGCGAATTCGGGATTAAAGGCTCACTGAACAAGCTTACAATAGGTTTTCGACCCCTGTGGATTGTTTCAAACAAATGACCCCTGTAATCTTTGTGTTTTTCTTAAACACGTATGATGGTCTATGTGTTTTCGTCACAAAAACAAGGTTGTTGGTCCTAGTGTTTTCTTCAAAACAAGACTGATGGTCCTTGTGTTGTCACCAAGAGAATATCTCTAACAAGGCTATCTGTGTTTTCTTTGTTCAAACCAAAGCCTAAGGCTCCAAAAACTGATCAAAATCTGATTCATTTGTAATCCAGCAGGCTGGAGATAGGTATCTATGTCATTTAGCATAAACAGGCCCTTGGCCACTGTCCTAATCATGAAATAGATTATGGTCCCTGTGATGCTACACGATACTCAAAAGTAAAAAATTGGAGCCTGATAACTATCCGTAAGAGAATCTGTGGTTACTATAACATGATTTAGGTCCCTAAGTCTTGTTATTGGTATACATATCCTTGGGGTAAAAAGGGTGTGGCTGTGTTCAAAGGGTATTGATCATGCTATTACAAAGGCACATGAACTAATTGCCACTTTGATCAAATCAACCAAGGTTGCATTTGTGTCCCTGTCTTGATTCAACAAATTAAAAGTTGGATTCAAATGCCAACATTTTGATTCATATATTAGTACTTGTGTCTTTCACAATTAAAGCATGATTTCTCCCTAAAAGCATGGTATCCTCTTAGAACAGCAATATGCAGAGTTGATTTTCTTACCATTGATTATGCTGGCTCTATTTGCCTCTCTATGTAACTTGGCCATTGTTCTCATTTGACTGTGATGTATATGTTATGTCTATGTTTAGCAAAGCCAACAAACACACACCTAATTTTGGTCCTGCTTCCATGTGTTTTCAAAACAGCCTACAAAAGAGATTTTTGTTCTTGTGTAGTTGCCTTGATCTTAAAATTCTTGGTATCTGTAAAGTAGATATAACTTGTTTTTGGGTTAAGCATGCATAAAATGGGTTTGTTTGTATCACAACCTGATTTTCTGTCCATGTTTAAATTTGTTGTCTGACTGGGTATCATCATGCTACTCCCAAGCATTTGAAAATAGCTGCAAGCAAACTGTCTCACTGAATGTTTATCTTGATATTATGTAGCTTTGTGTTCATGTGCTTTGCATGTTTGGAAACAGGATTCTAATTGATTTATTGCATATGTTTCCAAACCACATTATGATACCTGTGTGTTTCTCATATATTTGATCCCATGACCAAATGGTTGACTGCACAAACAACCATTTTGGTTGTTATTTTTGTTCCATAATGGTCATGACCAAACAACAGATTACACAGCAGCCAATCTAGTTGTATGGTTTTCTTGGTTTGTTTTCAAGTTCACATGTGTATGAACCTTAAGTTTTTGGCATATGACTCCATGTATGCATGATCAAACAGCTGAATGCACAAACAACCATTTTGGTTGTTGTTCCATAGTGGTCATGATCAGCCAACAGAAGTGATTTTGATCCTTGTGTGCTTGTCTTGATCATGCTTACATGCATATAACTCTCAAGTTGTTGCACCTTGCTCTTGATGTTATAAATTTGTTCAAACACATGTAGAAGGTGATCTTGATCCCTTATAACCTGATTTTCAAAGAGCCAGCAGACAGCTAAAATTCATTTTGGACCTTTTTTTTGTTTGTTCTAACTTTGGGTCATGAATTTAGTATCCAATTTTGAGCAACCAACAGCAACCATTGATTTTGGTCCATGTGTGTGTATGTGTTGATCTTTGATTCTGATTCATAGATTGAGTTTATAGCCACGCATTCCCAAAATAACTTTGTTCCTACTTTAAACCTGTTTTAAAATAGCCAGCAAAAGGCTTTTGTGCTTGCCTTGATTTTGAGTATACAACCAGCAAAGATCATTGTGTGTTCTCATTTTGCTTCAAACACAGCAGATTGCACAGCAGCAATGTTTAGCTTGATGTTGGTCCCTGTTTGTGTTTGCCTTCATTCATGGTGTGTTGAGGCTAATTTATGATCCTTGGTTCTATACATGTTTCGTTTGATCAAAGCATCATGTGATCCTAGGTGGTGAAAGTGCCTACATATTAGTATGCTATGTGCTGCTTCTCCTCATTTTAGTCCAAGTATTTTCAAAACAGCAGCTAGTAGCTTGATTTCTGTTTTTTTCACTTGTCATAAGCATGATCCTTAACCCATGTGTTTTAAAAACAGTAGCCATCTGTGTGTAATCTTTGATTAGGCAACAATTCCTAATTTGGGTTTATTTTTTTTTTATGCAGATAAACAAGATGGTTTGGCATGGATGACCAACCACCACCGGGGTTCCCACACCCTTCCCAATCATCTCACCCTCCCATTTCACAAACCACCATCCCCATCCCACCCAACTTAATGGTTGCTAAGATCAATCCTACCTTGCCCTACACCCCTTAGAACCATTCCCTTCACCCAAACAGCCCCTCTACCTATTGTATTCACCCAAACAGCCATCCCACCTACCATTCCCTTAGCCCAAACAGTCCCTTTAGCCACTCCCACTTCCCAAACAGTCCCTTTAGCCACTCCCACTTCCCAAACAGCCCCTATATCTGCTGTCCTAACACCAACAACCCATCTACCCACTATTTTGACCCAACCAGCACCACCCCCTTCTCCTCCCCCTAAACCTAAACCAAAAGCCCATCGGCCAGCCACTAGATCAACCGAAAGACATGTCACTAAGCCCATGACCAAAGAGGAGGGAGATGCAATAGATGTGGAAACATCTGTTCCAAAGGGTTTGCCTAAACCCAAGCCAAGGAAGGCAAGAGCCAAAAGGATGAAGATCAAGGATGAAGTCCAAGATGATGCACAACACTCCGGAGTACCACCTACATTAGAGCCACTCTCCCAAGGTATTGGCAAGACAGAAAGCACAGAATTCGATACATGCCACCAAAATCCCATTGTAAGTCTTTCTGACACTCCTTTACCTGAGCACACACACACCTTTGGTGCTTAAAGTGATCACACCATCAAAAGTGATCCTGTTGAGCATCATGAGAGTCAAGAAATGCTTGGTGAAGACTCCCTATTTGACATTGATCTCAATGCCTTTTTCATGGAAGAGGAGGGCCCAACTCATTTACTTGAGTGGCCGACTTCCACCACCTCTTCAGATGTTATCACTCTTATGGACGCACACACATCACACCACCAGTTCAATGATTCTCCCATGGTTGATTTGGGGATGGTTGACTTAACTTCACAACACTACACTCCCCCACCCATCTCCATTGCATTTGATAGATTCAACAACCCATTTTATGCACTACCCCCTTTCCCTATTTACATCCCTACTTCCCACATGAACTTTGATGCACATAATGCCATTATGCCCATGCCACCCATCACTAGCACATACACCGCACCACTTGTGAGCACTACCTATGATGCCATTCCTGACTTCCAGCCCACTTCCATCCCTTCTCCTATAATGTCTGGACAAAAGTCCAATGAGGATAGCAACCACACCTCTAGTGAATTTAACTTAGTCCCTATTGAGAGGTTCTCCAAAAGGAGACGGGCTGAGTCTGAAGACTCTGAATGGATTCCTGATGAGGACATCCTATTGTCCCAACTGAGGAGATCCAAAAGACATCAGGTAGCACCAAGCCCACCTAAAAAGAGTGCCCGCACTAGACCAGTGGACAGCCACAGTGAGAGCAGCCGGAGGCCTAGAAATTTTTAGAAGTTCAAGACTCTTTTGGGATTAGAAGAGAGAGGGTTTGATAAGAGTTGTCTTGAGACCTATTCCTTTATCCATGATATTGTTATCCAAAGGGGATGGGAGACTTTCACTGCTGTAAGAGAGCCCTATTTTCTCACATGGGTTCAAGAGTTTTATGCCTCAGTTCATGTTCGAGGTAAAAAGATCTCTTACTATCCACATGCCATCAATACTTTCTATGATTTGATTGCACCTCCAGTTTGTGAGTATCGCAGGTTATTACATGATCATACTGAAGAGGACCTGAAGATGGTACTAAGTGTCGTAGCCGAAGAAGGAGCAACTTGGAAGTGTCCGCAAAAGCGTAGTCCGCTTAAATTCCATACCAATCTCTTGAAAAAGAATGCGGCTGTTTGGAATCACTTTCTGAGATATTCTTTTCACCCCACCACACACGACTCGAGCACATCATTGGACCGCATGCTCTTACTATATTGTATTCTTGCAGGTAACGCGGTTGATGTTGGGGCAGTCATCTCGGATGCCATTCAAGGATGCACAAGAAAACCCACCGGCCGACTCTACTTCCCGGCCTTGATACATGGGTTGATGAAGAAGGCGTAAGTACCGGTACCACCTAGCGATGCTCTGACCACCAATGCACTACCCACTGAGTGCAAGACAGTCAATCGAATCCGCAAGACCCCGAGAAATGATCCCGGACAGCCCCCGGTTGCCCCGGACAGCAGCCATACGGACACGGACTTGATGCTTGAAGTCCGCAGATTGAAGGAAAAAGTCACCGCATTAGAGACCACCTTGGAGAGGAATGCTCAGTCCCACCACACCACCATGGAGAGAGCCTTGAAGGTACATGAAGAAACCCTTTTGAAGAAGATGGAAGAAAGAGATGCACGGCTCATGGCCGATCTGAAAGACATGATTGCCGGGATGTCCCGGCGCACCGAGGACCATTGATGGCACGTACTCCACCCGAGTAGACAGGTTTATCTATCTTTCTTTTAGCTCCAATTTACTTTTTTCTTTATATTTTTCCCCTTTTCCATGAGCCTGGGAATTATCCGTGTCAGTCTTTTTAGTGTTAGATTTTTTTTAGATGGAACTTTATGGCCTAAACTTCACTACCACCGACTTGTGTTTATAGCTTGAGTAACTTAAAAGTGGTGTGAGTTTGAGTGCTAATTTAAATTACAATACTAGAACTAGCCAACTCTTTTCCGGAACGCAACTTGATTTCGATTGTCACTACTTAGGATATGATCTAGGCCATCTCTTCTCCATAACTGGGCAAATATCTATACACCCCTCTTGACCCCCCTACTAAGCCGGGGACATTGTCATATATAAGTTGGGGGCAATTTTGTCAAAAAAGAGCAAAGCTCTTTCAAAGAAAAAAAAGAAGAAAAAAGAAAGAAGGAAAGAGAAAATGCTTAAAAAAGCATTATAAAGCCAAAAGAAATGCAAAAATGCAAAAAGAAAAATGGCTACATAAGTACTTTTGATCCTAAAAAGTGACAATATTTAAAAATCAAACGAAGAAAAAGCAAGGCTAGCCTATGGTATATAAATGTGATTGGTACAAAACAACTTCCACTTTGATTTATGAAAAGCTATTTATAACAAGAAAGTGGTAGTCGTAAGTGTCGGTGTCCATTTTTTCCATCTAATTTGAGTCTTTTATTTGTCTTTTTATGTTGTTTGGGGACAAACAACAATTCTAGTTTTGGGTGTGATAAATATCGATTTATTTGATACTTTTACACTTTTTCTTTACTTTATTTACCCATTTTATTTTCCCAAAATTCTGCAAATTGAGTCTTTTTGTTTTATTTTTCTATCTTTTTTTATATTGGAGCTAAATTGATGTGGTAAACATGTTTACTTCTTGGATGTGCTGATTTTTGGAAAAATAGCCATGTTGATAGGTATTTGGCTGAAACATGCTACAACATGTGCTTCAGGACGATTTCAGAGGCACTTTTGAGATCAAATCCCCCCTTTTGGCAGCCCATCTCTTGCAGATTTTTTAGATCAAATCCCTCTTTTTGTGATTATCTAGGTAGCATGGCTTTACCCATTGGACTATATAAAAAAGTTGGGTAAAACCGTTATCGTTTGGTCCTTGTCCTCCCTTCTCCCACTATATAAAGGGGGGAGGCTTGACATTGTAAAGGAAAGTATTTGTATGCAAACCAATCCTAGAGAAACAATCTAATAGTTTGAATGTTAAAGATTCTTTTGGATATGAAGTTATATTTGGAAGTATTTTATTTTTATTCTTTATAATTCCTCTTTACATTTATTTCTTCTATTATCTTTTATTCTCTTATGCTCTACTTATTATGTTTTATTATTATTCATGCAATTAATTTTTTTAGTTTAAGTATAATTAATTTTTCTAGTTTAAGTATTGTTAGACGTTTTTATAATTACGCTTGCCATTTATTTCTTCTACGTTGTTTTCTTTTCTTATGTATTATTATTTACGCAATTAATTTTTCAAGTAATGTTAGGCTAAAAATATAGCTTGGGTGTTGGGTGAAGTTAAGATAAAGACCGATTTCGTTTGTAGAAATATAAATTATAAATCTTTACAACTACGTCATTCAAATTTTTATTACAAAAACATCATCCATGGACAAGTTGATCACTTGTTTAAAAATGTTAAATGTGTTGGATTTAAAGATAAACCAACAAGCACACGTCAACTTGAATGATATGGAAGTAGGCTCGAAAGAGTTACTTAGAATCAAGGAGACTCGTTTTTGCTCTATTTAGCTTATAAAAGGAATAGTTTGAGCCAATGTCAAGACTCCAGCCTTGCATAGAGATATGAGGGCTTGATCTATGACTGTGTGCCATTTTACATCTCGAGAGAGTACCTTAAAGAAACTATTAGTTGTAAAGATAAGTTATTTATAAAGCATGTTGTAGTATACTGTCTACTTAAAAATCGATTTAATATCTTAACAAATCCTTACACCCTAAGCTCTCTTCTATTACTTGTTCACAACAATAGTGTTTAATCAACTCACCACAAATATTTTCTCGAATTCATCATCTGAGATCATATCTTTATTTATACTATTAAAACGAACTTTTTATTCCTTTTTCTCCGTGGACGATATTCGGTATTTTTACCACTTTATTACTTGTAAAAGACGATATTGGATTGATCAGTGTATACTTGCACTAGTCTCCATTGCTAACAGTCCGAGAGATTTACTTATATACTTCTCGTAACAGTAACCTTCCTATCTGCAAGCTTGGATCCAGGATTATGGATCATAAGCTGAGAGATGGAGACGTTGCACTCTCTGCTCTTGTGCAACCTCTTTCTTCTGTTTCTCCTTCTTCTTCGCAGGTGGTTAAGACTAAGGAAAACCCCCCGAAGTCTATCCCGACCACCACCACCCTCTCTTCCAAACGTCCATCTTCTCAACCCACTCTTGGTTCTCCATCGAGGGCCAAGAAAGCCAAAAAGGGGATACTCACGTCTCTAGCTATGACTTCTCAAAAGGTCTCAACTATTGAAACAAGCCTTACCCCCAAGGCACTTTCAGCTACCCTTCCCATCTCTTCAGTGATATCTGAAATCACTGTCGTACCTGTGGCTCGGCTTTTAACCGCCTCAGTGACCCAAATCACTAAAGGTGAGAATA